TCCATGGTTACATCTTCCCACGGTGCTTCTGGAATTGGCAGAGGCATGTATAATCCGGTATTCTGACCTTGGATTTAGCCAAGTGACAAATTCTGCATCTTTGTATATGCCTGTTGACATCCCGTTCAAGACGAGGCCAGTAAAAGTTTTCCTTCACCAGATCAACTATTTTATCCCTTCCAAAATGTCCAACTAATCCACCGTCATGTGCTTCCCAAATTATGGCTTCTCTTAAGGAACCCTGTGGAATACAGAGGGTTTTACCTCGAAATAAAAAACCATCATGCCTGTAAAACTGGTGGAAAGGTTGATTTACGGTTGCTTCCCACACTCCTTGGAAATCAGGATCATCCTGATACAACTCTTTGATAAGGTCAAATCCAACAACCTTGGTTTGCAATGTTGTAAGTAGCACATGGCGACGACTAAGCGCATCAGCTACAAGTTCAGAGTTCCAGCCTTATGTTTGATAAGGAATGGATAAGATTGTAAGAGTTCACTCCAACGAGCATGTCTGCGGCTGATCTTCTACTGGGAATTCAAATACTTGAGAGCCTCATGATCCGAAAAAAGTATGAACTCTTTATTTAGGAGATAATGACTCCAATATTGAAGAGCTCGGACAATGGCATAAAATTCCTTATCATAGGTAGAATATCTGAGCTTGGCATCATTGAGCTTCTTACTAAAAAAGGTAATGGGATGGCCCTGCTGGCTTAAGACAGCACCAATGCCGGTGTTAGAAGCATCACAGCTAACTTCAAATACTTGGTCAAAATTAGGAAGAGCTAGGACTGGAGCTTCGGTCAACTTCTTCTTAAGCTCCTCAAAGCTTTTTGAGCTTGCTCTGTCCACTGAAACTTCTCTCCTTTGGTGCAGTCTGTAAGTGGTGCGGCAATTGAGCTAAAATTACGGATGAACCTCCTATAGAAAGAAGCTAATCCGTGGAAGCTTCGAACCTCCTGGATAGATTTTGGAATTGGCCAGCTGTCAATGGCTGCAACTTTACTTGGATCAATGCGAACACCTTCCGCGGTAATGATATAACCCAAGAACACAACTTCGTTGGTGAGGAAGGTGCACTTCTTTAGATTTGCATAAAGCTTCTGCTCACGCAAGGCTTGCAAAACTTGTCGCAAGTGATCTAAATGCTCCTCTTGATTCTTACTGTAAATAAGAATATCGTCAAAGTACACAACAATAAATTTACCAATAAAGGGTCTCAATACCTGATTCATCAGGCGCATAAATGTGCTAGGGGCATTTGTTAATCTAAAAGGCATCACATTCTACTCGTACAAGCCGTCTCTGGTCTTGAAAGCGGTCTTCCACTCATCTCCTGGCCGAATTCTGATTTGATGGTACCCACTACGAAGGTCAATTTTGGAGAAAGTAGTGGCACCATGCAATTGGTCCAGCATATCATCAAGCCAAGGTATCGGAAACCGATACTTAATAGTGATCTTGTTGACGGCTCGACAGTCAATGCACATTCTCCAACTTCCATCCTTCTTAGGTACTAGAAGAACAGGTATAGCACAAGGGCTGATACTTTCTCGAACTAATCCTTTCTTCAACAACTCTTCAACTTGCCGTTGGACTTCGGCATGTTCCTAGGGACTTATCCTATAAGCAGGCTTATTAGGAATGACTGCTCCTGGAACGAAGTCAATGGCATGCTGTATGTCTCGTATTGGAGGCAACCCTGGTGGTATCTCATCGGATATTACATCTGAAAATTCTGACAATAACGGAATGACTCCAGGTGGATTGGCCATCTCATCATTCACCTCAAGCACCAGAATAATGCTCATCATTTGGGCTTCGGATTTTGACACCTTGAATTCCTCCTTAGTCAACAAAGACACTAACGGCTTAGAAACACTAGATTCCCTTGAAGATTGGCTAATCTCATTGGGTGGTAGAGGCGCTAGTGTAAACTTGACACCATCTTTCATAAAAGAATAAGTGTTCGCTCGCCCGTTATGCATAGCATATCGGTCATATTGCCATGGCCTCCCCAAGAGAAGGTGGCATGCATCCATGGGAACAACATCACATAAAACTTCATCACAATACCGATTTCCAATAGAAAAGGTCACAAGGCATTGTTTAGAAACTTTTACCTTATTCCCTTTATTGAGCCAGTGAAGCTTGTAAGGTTGTAGATGATCTTGTGTTGGCAACTTCAATTTCTCCACCATGTAGTTAGATACTACATTTTCACAGCTTCCACTATCAATGATGACATTACAAACTTTTCCTTGGGCCGTGCAACGAGTGTGAAAAATGTTGCGTCGTAACCAAGGTTCTTCTTTGACTACTGTTGTATGCAGACTTCGTCTAAGCACCAATGCTTCTCCTTGATCAGCAGGTGTGACCTCCTCGTCATATACGGGATCAGTGCGTAGAACTCATCGTCCTCCTCATCTTCTTCAAGTGCTTCATACCCTGATCCTTCTCGAATGGTGACAACCCTTCGTGTAGGACAGTCCGCAGCAATGTGGCCAAATCCTTGGCATTTAAAGCATTTGATTGCTTTAGAACTAGATTCCTTGGCAGCATTGGATGGTGGTTTGCGCATAGCAGTAGGTTGTGGCTTGCTTGAGGAGTTGGTCTGCTGAAATTCTGCTTTACGGCCTTCTGGATAACTCCTAGAGGATGAAGGTTGGAAAGTGGATCTCTTGGTCATCTGCTTCTCAACACGCACGGCCAGACGGATGACATCATCCAAGGTCCAATATTGTTGAAGCTGGACTGGACGACTGATATCTGTGTTTAAGCCTGCAAGGTACTGGGCTATTGTTTGCTCCTCCTTCTCCTGAATATCACACTTCATCATGAGTTGTTCAAACTCTCTAGTATATCCTTCTACAGATAAAGATCTCTGTCGAAGATTTTGCAACTGGATAAAATTATCCTGGTGGTAATGATCTGGTAAAAATTTCCTGGTGAGCTGGCGTTTTATTTTCTCCTAGGTTTCAATCTTACGCTTTCCCTTACGTTCTCGCTTCCGTCTGAGGTTTTCCCATTAAATAGAAGCATGTTTCTTGAGTTTGAGGGCGACAATTTTGACTTTCTACGCATCTGGAATCTCCTTGTATTCAAATACTCGTTCAACAGTTTGCAGCCAATCTACAAACTCGTCTAGCTGGAGCCTTCCCTTGAATTCAGGAATGTCAACCTTGATGTCATTAGGGCGGAATTGTTGTTGTCGTGGGCGGCGGCGGTTTTCAGTAGATGACGAACTACTGCTTTCCGAATCTCTCTCTAAGTTTTCTCTGTTGTTGTTTAACAGAGTTTGCTACAATTCCACAGTGGCTTCCAATTCTCGTATCCTACGTCTCAACTCTTCCATCTCAACCTCGTGCACATGTCTACGTCTTGGAGGCATTTTGGATAAGTGTCAAGGCTAGGGATAAAGATTGGGGTGCGATTGGAAACGTTGAAGGATATAGGGGTAAAGTGAGATTTTTTCAAAAGGCTAGGGGCAAAATGAGGATTTTGGACTGTCTAGGGGGTAAAATAGCGATTCTAGAAGAATGATGGGTCAAATTGAAATTTATGAAAAATATAGGGGTTAAACTAGAATTCAGGTAAAATCAAGGGGCAAAAGTGTAATTTTAGGAAAGTTTAGGGGTTAAAATGGAATTTCTGAAAAATTTGGCGGTCAATATGAAATTTCATAAACAATAGGGGTAAATTTAGAATTACTGAAAGATTTGGGTCCAAAATGTAATTTTTGAAAAGTTGGCTGACTGGGCACAGTGACGTGGCGACTGTGACACGTGGCAGAAAACTATTGGGCTGACCTGTCGTTGACCGGTCAGAACGATGACGTGGCAGCTGACGTCAACGTCTTCAACCTTCGGATGGCGCGTGACGGCGCGTGGACCGGCGGTAAGGCGCGTGGTCTTCCGACGGTGGCGCGTGGAGGCTCGTGTGGCTGTTTTCGGTGACGGGGAACCTCTTGTTCCACGTTTTCAAACCTCCTGAGCACGATGGTGATGTTAGTTTTCTGAGAAAATGCCTGGTTTGTAAAACGCAAAGACGTCAGGGACTCCTCCTCTGAATCTCTCTTCTTTCCGGTGTACTTTCTCAACTGTAACTCACTCTCTCGCTCTCTGGACCAGCTCTAATACCAAAATGGCACAGAAACCGAATGAACAACAAGCAATTCTTATTCTCTGAAGTCTGCCTTTCACAAGTCTCAAGGTCCTATTTATAGTCCTAGAATACGTGAAACTGAACCATACAAATTTAAAGGGGAGTTACAGAATTTAAGGGGCGGTTACAAAGAGTTTATGATGCTCATTATGTGTGCCTTCCGTTTTAGCTCGTTTCTTGCTCTTTCTGTTTCATTTTGCTCTTTCCGTTTCAATTGTGTGCTCTATGATGGTTGTGCAAAGGTTGTTAGCTTAACTGATTTTACCAAGCTTGATGCACCAGCTGTGATATTATTCAACTTGCAAGGATTGGGTTTGATGATGCTGGTACTACTATTCCTTGTATAGTTCAAGATATGGTTTTCTAATGTTATATCCTTAAGTCTGATTGGTTTTTTTTTTTTTTTATTTCCATATGTAGGCAATCCAGAAGTGTGTAGTTCTTTCTATGCTACAAAAGTATCCTTCAATGGCAATGTTGCTGAAGTTAGGCACTTTGTTGAAAGGTAAAAATCACCATTAGAGACTGAGTCACCTCATTTTGTTTTCTATGTCACAATACTGACTTATTGATCCTTCTTTCAATGCTGCTACTTTACTATCTCCCACAATAAGCTCAATGACTACACCTCCTTCTACCCAATCATCTAATCCATTAGGTCACACCAAATTGCAAAGTGGAAGGATTTTTTTTTTACTTTGGTTTTTTTAATATTAAAGCATTGGGTCACACCAAACAATTTAATCAAAGGAGTCGATCTTGTATAAGCCGATCTGGTCAACCCAATCCTCCATCGCCTTTCTTCTTTTGTTTTTTGTTTTTTGTTTTTGCACTGGACTGGATCAAATTTAGCCAGATTGGACCCAGTTGTCCGGGTTTTTGAACAGCCAGGTTAAACAAAGAAAAGTCCCGAGGAAAATTGTGCTTTATACGGGAGGAAGGTACAAGCAGAGAAGAAATACTTGGAAAGAAATTTAAAGAAAGCGAATACATAATAATGTTCATATTTTACACAAATCAGTCTTGTAAGTTGCTCTTTGCATTTGTCAAATCTTTGTTACCCTATTCAAACCCTCTTGAGCAGGTATCATCTCACATATATTGATTGCCTAACCTGGACAAAAAATACTTGAACAAATTAACTTTTTGTGATTCAAAATATCTGATCATTTGAACGAATTTGATATCTAAACAACCATTTCATCTTTTCTTAAAAAAATTCAAAATCTATGGACGAGTTTAATGGGAGAAGCAAGACCTTTTACTGAGGTTTCTGCATAATTATGACCCGATGATGCCTGACACGAGTCTCACTAATGCGGCCGAGGTGACGAAGGACCTGCATAAAGGCAAAATGCAAACTGATAAAAATTTCTTTGCGAATGACTAGCCTCTTGAATGCTAGAGTTTATCATTCAGCTACTGCTGTCATTTTCATCTGTTTCTTCCATTATAAAACTGAATTTCTGGACCTAAGAATTACCGTTAGTTACATGCGTATCGAATATAATAAGCAAGAGACCGCTATATATGACAATTTTTAAAATTTTAGAATATGAGTATGGAAATATATGTAATATATATTTCAACATTTCATAATATAGGTATAGGTATTTTTATTTTTAAACAAGTCTTTCTAAAGTAATATATAGATACTTGTAACAATCAACTTAAATATCAAGTCTTTTTTGAGGTTTTATTTTTTTAAGTAAATGGAAAAAAACTTATTGAAAAAAAAAATCACAATACAAATATTTACTTTTATTAAGTATTAGTGCTTCATACACCATATTGAGTTTTTCCACATTTTTAAGGTTCTGTTGACTATACTTACAGTGCAGGTTCAATCAAAGTTCCATAGTATTTAAGTGATAATCCTATTCAAATAATTTTGCTAGCTATGTAAAACAAGTTTTTCTTCAACGATATCATAGGATGGAGACAAGATAATCACCGTCAGAATTGCTTTTCCAGTGTTATCAAGCTTCAGGTTAGGACCTTTTATGTCAGTCTCGATGAAAAAGTGTTTCCCCTTTATCCCTTCCACAGCTGCAACATCTCTTAATTCCTGTATTTTGCAGCACAATTGAAAACCATTCTTTTTTGGTATAAAATCAAAAGATAATTACAATGGTTAGAACATCAAAGCATGGACCAAGAAACTACACGTGATTGTTTCAGGTGGTCTTTTTTTTTCCCCCCTCATGGCCAATGACTTCAGGTAGAGTTGAGATTTTGAAAATTAATAATGTACTCACCAGGGCTTTTTCCAAAATATTTTCTGCCAACTTCAGTAGCACAAAAAAGACTGTCAGTATATAATGGAAAATTCTGACAAACACAGTTTGAAACTAAAATGAAACTCAACCTTTTTTCTGGGAGCATCAATAAGTTGAGCATTTGCTTCGGCATAAGATGCCATATCATTAATTGCTGCATTCACCTTTTCTAGTGTAAGCCTACCTCTCATGTATCTGTAATATCAGATATTGACGCACGAAATCAAGATGATTTATATTTTTTCTTTCATCAAGATATATGGTCAAGAAAATAGATGGGGGATGCATATGAAAAAACATGCAACAGTTTCATCATTGGCTCAACAAATTAAAAACTTGTATCATCATTAGTCATGACGGTTTGAATCCCAGTTCACATAGTAGTCTCACTTGGTGATCAACCATTTCAAAGGAGACTCCATGGGATCCAAGGCCTAGTTGAAAAGCCTACCCACAAGAACAAAAAGGTTCCCATAGGGAACTCTTTGCGTAGGGTCTCTACCTAGCCAAAGTCTTAGAGTAACACTTCTTGTTGACACCTTTCTAAGAACACAGCAGCCTGCAACGCTTTTGGATTCCTGAAGTTTTATTTATGAACTAAGGGCACTAGAAACATGAAGAGACTCGGCTGTTACAAGGGCATTATAAAAATTACAGTTACAGATTATTTTTTTCCTCAGCCGTTTTATTGGCATTTCATCGACAGTTCATTATTAAGCCAAATCATTAATTTGTATGGCCGTGGTGGATCGGAAGATATAGATTAGTAGAGTCATTTAGATGGTGCATATACAGATTGTAAGGTTGAATTCATTCTAACAGTAGATTAAAAGTTGAAAATTATTGAATGATTGTTATGTTTAGTTACTTACGATGACAAGGAGTCTAGTTCACTTCCGGTGATGTGCCACAATGGTGGAGATCCGCGGCCCTTTTTCTCCTAAGAAAGTGATGGAATTCGACCCCAAAAAAAAAAAAAAATTGTGATCTCACTTTAACTGGTGAGGGTAGGTTGATAGAGAGTTCCAAAATGGTAATTATAAGAAAGGGTAATACATATTACGTCACGCATCAGTAAGAACACATTTGCAGTTCTAATTGTATGCAAATTGAACTATTAATATTTGATACAATGTCCGAAAAGATGAGGGGATTGAAGGGTGGAAAAGAAATGCATAAGCCATCAAAGAGGTTTTCATACAAAGTCCGAATTCATTCCATTTAAAAGCCTTAACCATCAGGTGGTATTTAAAAAATGATTTGTTTCGAACAAAATTTTTAGAGTTTTCACAATAGCAGCACTTGCATATGCAGATAGTTGTTCTGTTCCCTTGATGAGATAAATAAATCGGAGTATAACCAAGCTTGAAATACTATGCAGCCCACGATGAACAAAATTGGTTGGTACGAATTCTTTGCATGTTAATTTTAGGGATTTCAAGGCAAGGCCCTAGCCATATAAATTTTTACAAGGAACCAATGAAAATGGTTGTCCCATGTGTTACCCTCCAACAATAATTAAAAACAAGAAAGAAGAAATATAAGATATGAAAATTAATAGGAATCAAGCAGAGGGCATGTTCTAAGTAGACTGACAGAATTTTGAGTCATAATTCGTGGGACAAGGACCATTTCAGATGTGAAACACTGCAAGAGGTGCACCTGATTTGAACCATGAAAATTAATAGCGAAGGTTTGAAGTAATGTAACCACTCCCTATTTTCATTTGATTTGATTCCACATGACTCAACATAATAGGCATGGTATCAACAGAACTGATTGATACATACAGAGCATACATCAAGCATAACATAGCAGGATGCACATTATGCCATGATATGTGAGTGCTTGTGTGCGTGTAAGCAGACCATTTTTTGAACTACAAAAGCAAGATAATGGTTTCATCGTAGAAAACTGGACAATCAAACAAGTCCAAATATCTGAATCTTGCAACAAATATTTCTTGCGTCGTTAACACATTTTAAATTTAAAAATTCAAATATGGCAAATTTCATTTACCTTAGGTAATACTGCAGGCTCCTCATCAAGTTTTAGAGAATCAACTCCAGGTTCTTGTCCAGAAAATTCAGGAAATAGACTGAGAAACAACAACCTTTAGACATCTCGAGACAAGTGGTCTTTAAAAAAGGACGTAATAAGAAAGAAAAAGATGCAACCACCATCTACTAGTTTCCGAATTTGACATTATCCCTCTATCAGGCACAAGTGAAGGAACATGAAGAGACATGTTCAGCAATTTCTTTTGCTGCTTCAGTGATACGTTGATTAGTTTCTACAATCAAGCAAATAAACCCAAATCAATGGTCATTAATCGAGAACGTGGAACTACTTAATATGTCACCCAATTACTAACCTCTACTGCATTGAAGTGCAAAGAACAGAAATAAAACAAAATAATCTACTTTTGCGCATTTGTGTCTTCCAAACCGTACAAATGAAAAATGATCAATCAATCAGAGGCAAAATCTACCAAAAATTGTATTTATGAACGATGATGCTTTCCTTTTAATGCTACAAGGCTCCTTTCACTTCTGGTTAATGCCTGGCTCTGGAGAAGTAACACAATCTCCAATAGCATAAACTCCAAACTAAGCAACATTCAAGTGACTAAATTTTCCTTGTACCACTTTCAGAACAAATAAATAAATCAAATTTTCACATTCAAGCTTTTTATTTTCAATCACTGATTAAAAAAAAGAATCATAGCAAGTAGGTTGAGTCACTTATTCCAAGATTTACATAAATGAATATTGCTTCTCAGTCTTAGTTAAAAGAAATACCGAGATCCAATTAAGAAGTGTGCCATCACTCTGAGCTCTTGGCCCATCACTTCAAAGTAGTTTAAAAAAAAAAAATCAAGTCAATTTCAGCCAAGTTCCAGAACCGGTGACCAAAAAACAGGCGCTTATGGCTAAAACATTTGTTAAAAACACAAATTCGAAAAAAATTAGAAGCCTCAAACGACTATTCTAAGTTGATCATAATTATACAGAGTCTCATTCGAACCCTTATTATTTCTATTCCATCAATAAACTAGCGAGAGAAGTCGAGATACCTTGGCTTTAGGAATAGCTTCAGTCTCCTCGCGTAAACGGTCCTTGATGGCTTGCACCTGAAGCTCTAGAGTTTTGAGCGCAGTGTCTACTGCCGACAGATCGGTGATGCTGCTCGCTGGATACACTGCATAATGAAAAATAAGAACATGTACGAAATGTATGAATTATTCAAAGTAGAAGAAAATTAAACAAATAAAACGGAAAAATAGGAATTCTGAAGTGGAACCACTCACTGTTTCTTCCAATTACGAGCTCTTGAAGCTCGGTAATCCGAGCGTTGAAGGAAGAGATCAACGAATCAAGAGATGACCCAGCCTTTTTCACTTCCATTTCTCCTCTGTGATTCAAATTCGACGCATCTACTACTTTTTTTCAGAGTAACAATAATTTGAATTCGCAGCAATAGTTTCGGCGGGAATGTTTCAGTGTATTTTTATACTATATTATATTACATAATTTAAATAAATTTTATTAAAATATTAAAAATAAGTAAATAATCCTGTAAGGGCTTGCAGCCTAATTTGTTCAAGTATGAGCTAAGCCCAATATTGAAGAAGAGAAGATTCTCTCTTCTTCTCCTTCCCTCCCCTTCTCCTTTTTTTTTTTTCCTAATTTCTAACAGTGTGATCAAAATTTGAATGGTTTATATTTGATTTCTTATATAATATTTCATTGTATTTAATTTTTGGTATATTTTAATTGTTCACATTATATTTTAGCAGTTTGAAATTTATTATTTTGTATTTTTTTATAACTAGCATATGCCCGTGCATAGCACGGGTGATAAGTTAATTAACAAAATAATATTAGTTAATTAGATAATATATATATATATATATATATTTGTGGGTGTATCCTATGTATATTTAAGCAGTTAGATATAGATATGGTAGAATACTTTAAATAACTAACTTCATCTAAAAAAGGATTATGAAGTTAAGAAGTTATTAGATCATGGGGTATGAAGTTACCAGAATGAAAAAATAAAAATAAATTATATTCATCAATTATCAATAATTTTGTAAATTGAATCCTATACGACTTCACATACAAGCTAAACCATGGAAGATGATAATATATTCATGTGCTAAACAATGAAAAATGACCATCTAAAATTTTCTATAATCCCTTAAAATAATGTTAGGAGATGAAAAAGAATACTTCAAAACTTATAAGAATTAAATCAAAACAATGTGCAAGAGAATATGCACCTAAAAATTAAGTTAAATTCATATCTAAATTTACCTTTCATGCTTGAGACAACTTCCCAATGTAATATGAAGTGTTGCTATCATGCAATGCTAGGGGCAATAGTATTTTAATTTTCAAAGGAAGACACCAAAAGTCTAAAGCAAAAATTAATAATAATATCTTACTCTCAGACACATTTCATGATTCTAATATTGAACACAAGCAAATAATACTATAGAGACAGATCAAATGTAAAGACTATCCATTATTAATTTTGAAATTAGAGATCTTGAATCACATACTCTTATTTGTTGTCTTTTTGCCACTGAATATATATGCTGAAAAACATTATAAATTATACATTATAGCATAAAAAGAGAGAGATGAGATTTGGACAAGGCTTGGAATTTATAATAAGTAATTGGAATTAAAAACAACAATGACAATATAAGATAAGAAACTTAAACCTGAATGTTCAAATGATAACACAAAAACCTCTTTGAGAAAACACTTAAGGTGTCCAAGTTATAGGAGAAACCATCTCGGAGCATTATAAGCATGTCTTGGATTGACCTATATATGTAACATTTATATGATAAAAGACTTCACTGGCTTGCATTCTTTCATAGAAGAACAAAAAAAATGGAAGAAACTAAGTCCTTGACATTTGAGAAGTTTGAACATATGCATTAGTTTTTAATTACAATCGAGATCAAAATATTCAGAGCAACAAGTTTCTAAATCATAAAGTAGGTTCCTTCTAGCAAGTTACCTATTGAAAGTGACTCACTTATAGAATATTACTTCTTCTTCTATGATTTGTTCATTGCTTTTCCCTTTGGATTCTTAATAAACATGGACTTCCTTCTCAAATATGCATTGACAAAAAAAAAAAGCACACAGATGCTTGCAACTGCGCATCACCTTTGTTCATGGATTTGTGCGTTTAGAGGTATAAATGACAATTATTCACTTAACTCCTTGGCAAGGAGGAGTTACAAAGGCACAAATTAGACCAACTGTCTCCACGTTCCGCATAAAATACATGTATAAAATAAAACAAAGATTGTTGAAAAGTGGGGAGGTTATTATGTTTGAAATTCTTATATAGGGATGTGCGGGTGGAACCCCACGTTTCATAATTAAAATTAATTTTCTAAACGAGATTAAGGTGTAGGGGAGGCTTTTATGTTTAAAATTTTTTAAGATTTTTAAAATTTAAAATTAAATTTTGAATTAATTGAGAAGGTATGTTAATGGATAAGATCACAAAAATGATGAGAATATTAATTTTTTTGAAAAAAGAAGTGAGAATATTTAGGGATAAGGAAAAGTTGACCATGGTAGCTTCCATATTATAAATTTAAAAACTAAGACATCAGTATATCTAAATTATAAATAATATATTCAAATTGAACGTTTAAATTATAATTAAAAATTTAAGTTAATTTTACAAATAGGATATGGAGTGAGGAAGTTATGATACTAAAATTTTTCAAAAATGTTTAAAATTAACATTAAGAACTGTGAGTTAGTTAAAAGTCATGGTTGAAAATTGATATCATGGGAGAGAATATTTTGAAATAAGGAAAAGAAATTTTGTTAGTTTTAGAAATGATGTTGATAACTTTTTTAAAAAATATTTTTTGAAATTACTAATGAGGTAGGTAGCCTAAAATTGCATTATTTTAAAAAATGCTTATGTGTCAAGCTCAGAGAAGTACTTGTTATTCTTTTATTATATATATATATATATATATAGATTTAACATTTTAATAATATATTTATATAAGAAATTAAATTTAAACCATCCAAATCTTAATATAATAATTAAAAAGGGAAAAGAAGGGAAGGAAATAGGAAAAGAAGTTGAGAGAATCCTCACTGGCTTAGCATGGCCTCTTTAACCAAAAGCTCAAATTTAAGCTTATAAGCTTATTTACTTCAAAAAGCTAAGCATGTTTAGTCAAATTCTTGCATGAGCTAGTGTAATGCTCTCCTGCTAATTACCACAACCACAATAATTTACACTACCATGATATTTGGTACACAACCAATCATTAAAGAGATGTTCTATAGTAGAAATGATTAACTTTAGTTAAATAGGTCAACCATAGTAAAAAGAAATAAATCCTAGGTGACAAAGTCTATTATGGTTGAAAAGTTTCAAAGTAAAATGATTAAGGCCAAATCATTTCAATAATTGGCTCCTAAAATCAATTAAATTCAAATAAAATTTGAAAGGTCATTTAAACACTTTCAAATTAGAGTAACGTGTTTGGAAAGTGTGGGAATCATTTTAAGATGAAAACAAGTCAAATGGGGTAAAATACAGTCAAAATACCCAAATCTATTAGAATCCACTGAGGTCAAGTGCATATAAGTTGCAACATGTGGAATAGGAGGGTTTCACTATGACCAACGTTACCATATGTTGTGGCCAACCTTTGCTATACCATGCACCATAGCATATGTTACATGACACTTTATTGTCATGATAGTAATTCCAAACCAACTTTTGGCATACACAACTTCTTGCCTTAACATCCAGTTGAGGTGATTCAACTACCTACAAATAGATAATTTCATAAACAAGCTAATGGCTTTAATTTTAACTCAATCCAATATCATATGGAGAGTTTGGACACCCAACACATCGTTTCTACTCTTTTCCACATTTCCACAATCAATCAAGTGTCTAGACTTCCTTCCACAAACCATTAGCCTATTCTAGGCCATAACTCCTCTGTTTGACTTTTGTTTGATGCAATTCTGATCTAATTGAAGCTGTCTCTCAACCCTCTATACTTCTATTTGCAAACTAAAAACCTAGAGTTCAAATACCCAAAAATTTGGAGAATCCCTCCTTTGCATTTTCTCAATAATAGCTTCCATAAAGGTTTTTGAGTACCCAAAAGGTTTTATTGACTCATAAGAAAATGGGGAGGAAGGGAAACTCCAGAAGCAATGAAAAAACATCATATGTAGAGACTCAGAATTAAAACATAGAATAATGGGAAAAAATTCTTGAAAAAAAAGGAATCTAGAGAGATAAACAACACATAATAATAATATGAACATATTCATAATAAATGCAATGAAAAAAAGAAAGCATGTAGAGTGATTGCTCCCACAAGTGTACGAGATTATAGTAATAAATTACCCAAAGTATTTTAAGTGTAGAACCCATAAAAAAGTTGCACTTTTACTAAATTAAATAATTAATAGTTTGAGAAAAATGGATAAAATATATTATTTGATGAGAATATAAATAATTAAAATAAAGCAAGAAAATAATCATGAGGAAAATGCAATTACTTAAAGTGTTGGGGTATAGAATTCACCTTATAGATTATTAGTTTCTAGCTTTTGAGTTAACTCTTCAATTATTATAGTGACAATTATCCCTAAAGTGTCATAATATTTTCCCGAGTTATTAGTCCATTTTAATTCGTATTGAATTCATACCCACGATACCCAGACAATTAAGTAAATGATGCTATAGTTTAAGTCACAACAAATTTTTAAAATTATTGCTAGCTTAGTTACTTATGTCTATTTATCTAGATCTAGGCATTAAGTTAACACCAACACCTAAATCACGTAAACAATTTTCAATAATAGTAAAACCAATATCACAAGGAATAGTGAAACACCCCAAATCTTTCAATTTAGGTGATAGCTTCTTCTTTTTTTTTTTTTTTGTGGAATTGCTCTACATTCTTCTGTAAGTGTTACTATGGCATATTCTTCCAACTTTTTCTTATTTGAAACCAACTCCTTGATGTATTTGGCACAAGTAGGTATCTTTGCTATTGCCTCTATAAAGGGAATATTGATTTGAATTTTCTTAAACATATTAAGGAAACTTTGAAAGTTTGAATCTAGATCTTTTTTTCAAAAGCCCTCAAGATATGGAATGGAAGGTATATAAGGGTTGACTTCAAAGAGAGAAGGGCCACTTTGAGTTACAATATTAACTCTAAGTACCTCAATTACCTCATCTTATTCATCATTTTTTTGTTCGCTTACCTTTTTAGATATCTTGTTAGTCCCACTATCGATTGTTGAATTTTGGTTTTGATGATTACAAAATAAAGAGAAGTTTTACACATTTTAAGTTATTTAACTTATACCTAAGTTAATTGGCTTAACATTAATCTAATCTGGCTAAGTATAAGCTTA